AAAAAAAAAAAAAAAAAAAAGAGATTCCTCATGTGGAAAATTGCTGGGTGTTTGTATTTTCACCCATTCATTTATCCTAAGAACAGTGAGTTTTCCAATTCTAGGTTCACAAAGATAAACAATGTGGGGGATCTCTACTTCCCTTCCTGGAGAGAGAAGAAAGGAGACACCCCAGAAAGCAGGTTGAACACCAATGTTTATTAGAGCAAAAAAGGAGGAGGGAAAAAATGACCAAACACCTCCCCGCCCCAGGGGGCGCTTCACTACGCCACACAAGGCTTCCAAACGCCTGTCCCCAGGCTCTGGAGGTCCAGCGCCGTCGGCCCAGGCGAGATTCCCATTCTGCCCACCCTTCCAAACCGGCTGAAGGCTCTGGGGGGAAGGGACGGTCTACACTCTAAGCTGTTGGTTGCAATGAGTTGTGCAGGTTAGTAAAATGAAGCAGCACATGCATTTGCCATCGATCCCCAAGACAACCTTTGCCATGGCCACAGCTCACAAGGTCTAAAGACATCCATTTCCGCAGCTGAAAAAATAAACGAAAGAGGGAGCCTCCTCCTGTTTCGACATGATCCAGGCCGATGCTTATCTAAGAGCTCGCTGGAAAAGAAAGAGAAAATACTGTTAACATGATGCTGATAAAGGAGGAAGGAGGGGTGGGGAGGAGAAAGGAGACAGGAGAAGGAAGGGGAGGAGACAGCCATCGAGGGGTCACTTCCTGAGCACGTCCTGTGACGTGCCTGGGCAGCTCTGTTTTCCATGCACTGACTTTTTTTTTTTTTAATATGTTTTTATTGATTTCAGAGAGAGGGAGGGAGAGGTAGAGAGAGAGAGAAACATCAATGAGAGAGAATCATGGTCGACTGCCTCCTACACGCCCCCTGCTGAGGATAGAGCCTGCACCCCGGACATGTGCCCTGACCAGGGAATTGAACCGTGACCTCCAGGTTCATGGGTCGACTCTCAACCACTGAGCCACACCTGCCAGGCCACGCACTGATTTTTTTAATGCTCAGAACCACCGCATGAGTGAGGAGCTCTTACTGTCCTTATTTTGCAGATGAGAAAACTGAGAGAGCCACTGGGCAATTTTTCCCAAGTGGAGTCACGATCTGAATGCTCTCAGAGTCCGAATTCCAAGTTGACAGTCCCTCCAGCTTCCCTGTCTTTGTGTAAATGGAGCTGTTTGGAGGGAGGCCTCTGTGGGATCCTGTGTTTTCAGGAGCTACCCCCACCCCCACTCCAGCTCATCAGCAAGGCCTGTCCTACCCATTGGCAAAGGCCTCAGTTGGCCCTCGGAAGGGGGCTCACTCAACCCCGAAACCCCTCCTGTTGTCTGGCCTGCGCAAGAGTAATAAGTGCCTCCAGCCATGGAGCATTTACTGTGCACTGGGCTCCACAGATACCCAGGAGGGCATGTTCCTGTGCCCATTCACCTTAGCACAAAGTAACGGTGAAGACATGTGGTTTCTCTTCTTTTCTTTTTTTTAAATACATCTTTATTGATTTCAGAGAGAGGAAAGGAGAGGGAGAGGGAGAGATAGAAACATCAATGATGAGAGAGTCATTGATCGGCTGCCCCATGCATGGGCCCCGACCGGGAATCGAACCACAATCTCCTGGATCCTAGGTGAAAGCTCAACCACTGAGCCATGCCCAGCCGGGCGAGGTTTCTCTTCTTAACCAGAGATGACAAACTGCCCAATTATATCCTGTCCTGCTGCGTGCACACAAGCTACAGAGGAGGAATGACATTCACTAGGCTTAACCTCTGAAGGGATTTGCTATCCTATCTAAGAGGATTTGGAAAGGAGGGAGGGAGGTAGAGGTAGACAGACCGAGAAGCAACAGCCTCGTGCAGGAACACGGTGCCAAGCGGGGTGTGCAGGCCTGCAGGGAACGTGGGGGGCGGGGGGTGCCAAAGACTAACCCCAGAGGAAGAGGGAAGACACAAAGGTCCAGGCACATTCCCAGCCTGGAGGGCTGTGGGAAGGCAGTAAAGGAGCTGCTGCTGGTGACAGTGGTGATGATGGTGATGGATGTCACTGGCTGAGCTCATGGACGCTGCCCCCACCTGGACAGACCCAAGCCTCCACAAGCCACACTTCTGTGACTTATATTCCAGAATGACCTTTTCTGGACCACAAATGGGGTCACGTCCCTCCCTATTTGGGATCTCCTGGTGAGTCAATAGGGACCAGGCCCTCTTCACCTGGCTGCCACCTGTCTCTCCTGCCTTGCTCTTTGAACCCCCCAACCCATAACCAGCTAACTAGCTGTCCCCCTAACGTCGTGCTCTGGACGGCCTCTGAGCCCATGCACATGCTGTCCACCGATGTCTCCCCGAAACAGAAGGCCCAGGAGAAGGAACGTACCGGAGGCCGATCCCGAGTCCCTTACACGGGATGGACCAGGTTCCTGTCACAGTGGGGCTTGCAGAAGGGGTTCAGCCAGTGCTCCAGGAACTGCTCCTCGGCGCGGCGCTCCAGGCGGAGCAGGTGGTGCATGTATTCCTGTCGGAACAGACCCACGGGGAAGAGAGGCTTTAACCGCGGTGACGGCGAGCTGCTGATGGGACAGGGCGCTGCCAGATCGCCAGGCCCAGGGAGGGGAACCCGCCACGCCCATGCCTCTGTAGAGACCAGCCAGACGGACCCACTCAATGGGCAAAATAAGGAAATCTGACAACCTTAGGTGCTGAGAGGCTGGGTACCCATGGAAACTCGTAGACGCTGCTGATGGGGTGTAACTCAGACCAACCACTGTGGGAAACAACTGATTGCCTGAGATTCAGAAATCTCACTCCCCGTTTACACCCTAGAGCTGTGCTCCTCAAACTTTATCTGTCAGCAGAATCACCAGGAGGGCTGGTGAAAGCACAGATTGCTGGGCTCCACCCCCAGAGTCTCTGATTCTGTGGGTCTGGGGTGGGGCTTCAGAATTTGCATTTCTAGCAGGTTCCAAGCCAGTGCTGACGCCCATGGTCACTTTGAGAACAGAAATGTGTAGAAGTTATTCATCGCAGCAAAAAATCTGTAGTAGCAAAACACTGGAACCATGCCAAACACCATTGACAGGAGAATGGATAAAAAAATTAAAGCAGGGTCACGTCGTAGAGTATTATACAGCAGTGAACATAAATGAATTCTAGCTACATACAACAACATAGGTGAGTTTTAGAAATAGCATGTTGAGTAAAAAAGAGCAAGTCCAAGAAGACATAGTGTGGCACCATTTTTATAAAGCTCAAGACATGCACAACTAATCACACATTAGTTATGGCTGCATGCATTTGTGGTAAAATCATCTTTTTTAAAAGACAAGGGATAACTATTAGGAAATTGAATTTGCTATACTATTGTCAGATAAAATAGACTTTGCCCTCTTCGGTATGGCTTAGTTGGTTGGACATTGTGCCATGCACTGAAAAGTTGCTGGCTTGATTCCCGGTCAGGGCACATGCCCAGGTTCTGGGTTCCATCCCCTGTAGGGGGCGTGCAGGAGGCAGCCGATTGATGTTTCACTCTCACATCGATGTTTCTCTCTCCCTCTCCCTTTCTCTCTCTCTAAAAATCAATAAAAGCATATTTTTGAAAATTAAAAAATATTTTTTAAGGGAAAAAATATAAATAAAATACAAAATGTTTAATGATGACTGTGCAAATGAATGAATTACGAGGTGTCCAATTTTCCTGAATTTTTTTCCTTTCCCCCAGGACCCATGCAGTTTTCATTTGTTTGAGTTATCATGATTGTTTTTATTTAACTCATTGAAATGTACCCCATGTCCTGGGCAGGGCGACTCTGGGGCAGCCAAGGTGGAAGTGGATGGTGAGAAGGCTCCTCAGGGGACCCAGCAATGATCCCCCGGGGGCTCGCTGGACACAGTTGTGAGTTTTGGACTGAATCCTGCCCTGTCTTGCCCTCTCTGGGCCTGAAGAATAATAATTGGGGGAAACAAGAGGGCAGTGCAGAGTCGTGTAAATAAGGAACAAAGACTTCCCAGCACCAGTGCGCTGAAGGAACCCATGTTACCTGGTTGCCGGGCGATGTGGTGGAAAGGCTAAGAGGTCTGGGTCAGAGTTTGGTTCAAAGCCAGACTACCAATAATCCAGGCTCAATTTGTCCATCTGCAAAATGGGGGTGACACTAGCACTTATTTCATTGGGTTGCCAGGATTCAAGGAAATGATACAAATAAAGTTCCTTGCCAAAACAGTTGTCCCCATTTGCCCCTCTAACCCTGTTCTCAGCCCTCCTTCTGGCCCGTTGCAGGCAGAGGCTGACCTAGATGAACTGCAAACACAGACTCCCTTGTCCAGGGGCTTCCAGTTGGGTATGACATAGGAGGCGGCAGGGTAGTAGGAGGGAGGCCGGGGCGTTTGCTCCCCTGGGCCCTCCCCGAGGGGTCAGAGCAGGCTGGCTGCCTCCCTCTCCTGAAGGCCACAGCCCCCAGAGGGCCCCACTCTCCCTGTCTGGGAACCACAGCCCCCCCTTTCCCCTTCGTGACTAGGGGCTGTCAGCCTTGGATTCTTCCTTGTCTCGTCGGTTCACCTTCATCCTGGAACGCTTTTGGAAGTCTCTTCAGTGCGCTCTCTCTCCTCTTTGATTCTGGCTACTGTTAGATAAGAAAGGCCTGAGCCTGTCTTGAGGCTGTTGCGTTGTGCGTCGCTCCCACGAACTGGTCCACAGGAAACTTTTCATGCATGCCTGCTGAATGCAAGACTGCAGAATGCAAGACTGCAGCAGAGGGCCTCCACGTGTGGTCTGTGGTCTGTGCTGCCCTGGGGGCCCTTGAGGTCACAACTATTTTTAGAATAACACTAAGACATTCCTTAGTTGCTTTCTGGTCCTGTGCATCAATGGATAAAACTGGCGCCCTAGCAGAAGTCAAGGCGTTGGCTCCGACCATCCTGGAAGTTATTGTGCCCTGGCCAGGTGGCTCAGTTGGTTAGAGTGCTGTCCCAATAGGCCAAGGTTGTGGGTTCAATCCCCTGTCAGGGCACATACAAGAAGCAACCAATGAATGTATAAATAAGTGGAACAGCAAATCGATCTCTCTCTCTCTCTCAAATAAATAGATAAATAAATTGCCCTAGCCAGTTTGGCTCAGTGGTTAGAGCATCGGCCTGTGTACTGAAGGGTCCTGGGTTCGATTCCTGCCAAAGACACATACCTCGGTTGCAGGCTCGATCCCCAGCCCTGGTCGGGGCACGTGCGGGAAGCAACCAACTGATGTGTCTTTCTCATATCAGTGTTTCTCTCTCTCTCTCTCTCCCTTCCACTCTCTCTGAAAAGCAATGGAAAAATATTCTCAAATGAGGATTTAAAAAAAAATTAATAAAAATTAAAAAGTTATGGTATCCTTCACTGTCACACTCACAGTATAAAACAGATAAATAAATGTAAAATGTTCTTCAAATGTCAGTTTCACTGAAGAACACCCCGGGGGCCAGGTCAACGTGACACAGCAGGAAGCGCAGGCCGCAAGGGCAAGTGCAATGGTTTTCGTGAGGAAAAGCGCCTGAGTGATTGCTGGTGTCAAGGACTGAACTAGCTGTGCTTTATGTGCGTGTTTGGCAGACATCGTCTCGAAAACGAAGAGAGTGAGCTTGTCCCTTCGAGGAAAACAACTGACAGGACTTGTCCCAAAATGATAAAATCCAAGCTTCCAAGGGGAAATTTGAATTTTCGAAAAGTTGTGTTTACTCCCATGAGCCCTAGCAGCTTTCCGATACTTAAAGACTTTTCTGATGTTGTCGGTGGTGATACCAACAAATGTCATCACTGATATACGGCATTTATACATCTTTTATAATTACATACTCATTTCCATTCTTACTCATTTAATCCCTGCCCCACTCAGCCAACATCCACCTGCCTTTCTGATGGTAGTAACCAAGGTATATCGAGTGCTTGGCGCATAATAGGACCTCAATAAAACTCACTGGAGAAATATACCAGTGAGTGAATAAATAAATGAATTGACTGTTCTTTCTCCATAATCTTCTCAAATCCTCCTTGGAAGGTTCCCCGACATCTGTGTCAGTCTGCTCATTAGAGAGGCCCAGTCCAAGCGAACATGTGTATTTCGCACTCCTGAATAGCAGCTGAAATCATAGCTGCAGAAAAACAACCAAAACACACAGAGAGCAAGAGAGAGAGAGAAAGAAACAAGCACCGGTTTCCATGACATTTCACTATTTATTTAAAATGTTAGGAAAATAAATATGCCACAAAGGCCTACAAGCAATCATTAGTCAAAGATGAGAAGCCAAACTGCAAATCTGCTGAAAACCACAAATTCAACAATTGTGTTGGCTGAGTTAGAAATGACCCGGCATTAATGCTCATCTCAAATGTTCCTGGATCAAGAAAGAAGAGCAAGATGGAAAACAAATTTAAATTTTTTTTTTTTTTTTAGATTCCTTTCTCCAAGGGGAAAAAAATTGAAAACAAAACAAAAACCAATATCTGTGCTCCACGTCCAATGCCAAGGGTAATAATGGAAGTAAATAATTTCTCAGTAATTAGAGCAGAGATGGGTGAGATGATAAAAATTCAACACCCGCCGGAACTTGATCTAAGCTGAGAATCATAAACCCAACAATCTATCAAAGAATGAACAAGAGGGTAAAATTCTGCCTGAGACATTTGCATGGAATTGAAGGTCCATCAGCATTTGGAGGAATTATTTTGCTCATTAGTGAAAGCAAGGTAGTCACCTAGGCAGAAGGGTGGCTCTGAAGTTAACCTCACTGGGCCACTTGAAGGCTTAGCCCTGAGAGAAGGCAGATCAGTGATGGGCACTATTTACATCTCAGTCACTCTGAACTGTTCTTTGAGATCATGGGGAACAAAAGGGTAATGGAATGACTACGTACATTTGTCAAGGGGCTAAACATGAAAGCATATTTTGCAAAGACGACTTATAATAAAGCTCATATGATTTATACTTGCCCAACGAGAACATTCTTTAAAGGAAGACAGGCCAAAACGGAAAGCGTATTCCCAGGACACACAAGTGCTTACGAAAGACATAATTTTAGCTGAGATGTCATCTTTTTGAAGAATTTCCATGCTTCGCCCCAGCAGTTGGCAAATAATTTCTTCCCTAAGATTTGAGACGATTAAGAGAAATTTAATGAATTCAAGAGAGGCAAAAGAAAAGATTTCTAGGAAAACAGTCTCTGGGTTCTGCAGGAGAGTTATGTCCTGTCAAATGTCTCCCTGGGAGAGAAGCAAAGAAAGGGATGGAAATAAGTATAATGAGCATTCAGTAAATGTCAAATATTGTGCTTGGTGCTGGGGACCCAGAAGTGAAAGAAACAGCCCATCTGCTCAAGTAGTTTAGAGCAGCCTAGTAGGAGAGACGGACTTTAAAAAAGAAAAAAGTCAATAGCAATCTTGTGCTGTGGGTGCCATGCCAGAGGGATGCTCTGATGCGTGATGGGAGGACAGGGGCATCAGGAAGGCCTCTTAAAAAAGGCATTATTGAAGGTGAATCTCTACAA